ATATATATCGATATAATATATATATATATATATATATTATAATATATATATATATATAATTATAATATATATATATTACGAGTCAAGTGAAGTAACATGGGCGCAAGTATGACCAGCAATATACACATCATTAGTCTACAACAACACTACAAGTTCGGTCTCATGTAAACATATGTACTCACCTGCGAGAAAGAATCGAATAATATGCGTAACGAGCGGAGGCGACAGGTGGATGAACGACGACGTCATCTTGTCTGTCGAATGGAACACGAGCGCGTTACCAAATAAAGGCACTGTATGAAATGGAGATGTGAATATGAGAGACGTGAGAAACCCATGAGTCATGAGTCATGGGCGATGTTGGTATGAATGAAGGTATGGGACAGATATGTGAGATAGGAGAATAGGATGTAAATATGACGGACATGTGAGGAACCAATGACTCATGAGCCATGCTTTACATACATACATATATACATAAATACATCACTACATATATAACGTATACATATATATCGTATATATATATATATATATATATATATATATACATATATATATAGATACACAGATAAATGATTATACATATACATGAATACAAATACATACATACATACATACATATACAATATAATATATATATATATATATATATATACTCACATACACACATACATACATACATGCATGCATAGATACATAAACACATGGATAAATGCTTATATATATATATATATATATATATATATATATCGATATGCATGACTTTGTACTCACCCGCCCATATCAGCGGTCCATGCGTGAGAGAGTATAGTACCATGAACAATGTCGCGTTATCCGGAAAGACCCAGATGTACAGTAGGAGCATCAGATTTGCATAGTAGCAGAAGTCAAGCATCTGCAACAATTATAGAGAAATCATAAAAAACACTGATCTGATCCTGACTATCCGAATGCAGACTTGCGCATGCATAACTTTATACCTACGCGTATGATGCCGAAAGTTCAGCAATACATCTCGACATGCATACATGTAGTTATTTACGATACGAGACATATATATATATATATATATATATATATATACGTGGAGATTAGATTATGCATCCAGTGTATGGAACGGCCCTGAGGCAATAAAATGGAGCATCATCTCAGGTTGACACCAATAAATTTACTATTTATAGATAGATAGATGCGATAGACTCATTATGACATATGGGAAGCGAATAAACGCGGAAGAGATGGATAGATGCGATAGACTCATTATGACATATGGGAAGCGAATAAATGCGGAAGAGATGGGGCACTCAACGCCAACTGCGTTGAATTGGATATACATTCAATATGTTATGAGTACGGTTATATATCGATATATACATACAACTGAATGTATTAGTTCAATTGTTTATACTAGGACATACACGTTAAATTAGATATTTATTCAAAATGTTATGAGTACGTTTATATATCGTACAACTGAATATTTTAATTCAATAGTTTATACTAGGACATGCATCTCTATCATTTACAAATACCCACTCACGATCTATTACACCTTGCATACACACATATATAAAGAAACTATTATATATCGAAACACACAAATACACACACAAAATTGTTTACAATGCCGTGTTATTATTTGCTACATGAATGCGATATATCGGAAGTGAATTAGATGTTGCAGCCTTCAATTTGAAGACGCGGGGCAGCCACTATCGCTGATCACCGGTGAACTAATCCGTGGTAAAGGCATCCTACATATGCGAGCATATAACCCACACTACATACAGACACACACATACTCGTATACACACTATCAATTCGATACACAAGCATACGTACAAAGTAGTGCCATTTCTTGCTGTTGTAGACGACATATCGGAAGGGAAGCAAAGTAGCGGCCTTGAACGTGTAGAAGTACGGCAACCACTGATGCTGACCTCCGGTGAAATACGCGGTCATGATGACGTTCCAAATGCCAATGACCATGGATAGCTTATCGTACCACCGTTGCTCCTTGGAGAGCTATGTATGGCAAGAGATATAAATAGATATATATATAAATAGAATTAGTGACGACCAGGTCGTGGTATTGAAACAAGGACAAGGAAAGTTTAAAGTATGCACTATCTTTGCTCTTGAAGTGTTAAATAAGGCAAGGGATATAAATAGAAGTATATTAATACGACTCGTGATAACCAGCGTTCGATAAAATTGAACAAGTACATTCCAGCGTTCGATAAAGTTGAACAAGTACATTCCAGCGTTCGATAAAGTTGACCAAGTACATTCCAGACCCCATTGATCGGGTCAAAGTAATTGTATAATAACTATTCCTGGACGAGATAGTTAAAGCAAAGCTGCAAAGTATCAGGGTTTTAGGGTGCTAGGTATGGAATGCAATTCAACAACATAGTACACCGTGGACTAAGATCCAAGTATCGCGAGAAGTTTGCTTTTATATATTTCATTACAATACTGATAGTCTGAGAAACGTATAAAACATTTGCCCACTTCTATATTATCGTTCTTCAAATAGTCATAGAAAGCAACATCATTATATAAATATACTTTTACATTTACACACACACAC